ACATACGAGGGAGAGAAAAAGAACAGCAAAACCAACACGATAGAGGGACAAAAACCACCTGAAGGGTTATACCAGTCCCGAGTTAATTGACACCAGCCAGTCCGTCTGGACAGCAACTTTTGATCGATATGGCATTGGTAGGGAGGCACAACGGGGACAAGATAATTACTAGACAGACACAATCAGGCCAAATGTGACACGTTGACAGAAGTCTGGAGACCCCGAAACTTACGCACACTGGCCGATAATTCGTAACTTGCCAAAACGTACCAGCGTCAAGCCGGTATGATGAAGTTTATGGCGAAAATCAGACTAACTGACCACAGCAAATGCATTGGAGACAACATAAGCATTGAATTTGATCTCTTAATGAAGATCAAAGGTATAGGGTTATTTGAGCACTATAAAATAAAAGCTCACTTCCGCCCAAAGTGCTCCACAATGAGCACTTAGTGCCACTTGTTTCCTATACTATGCCTAATACTAATAGTTTAAATAGGCGTTTGTTAATTTCGTAATTTGCCCATGGCTTTAAGAGGATACAATTGGCACGACCAGACATTCAATTAAATTAGTCGGTCAATAAGTACCATATTTGTCGGATATGACCTCTCCCATTGGGTTTAAATTCAAAAACTTGAGCTTTAGAGCATTTATACATTGGAGAATTAACTATACTTCTCATGTAAAATTTGGTTGATTCAATGATTCTAGATTCGGGGTGTGAGATAGACTTACCTCCACGTGGTGCATGGTGGGCAACGTATATTCATGCGGCACAAAGTCTGTAAACCGGCAGTTGACTTCTCATTTCAATTTACTATGACCCCATCGTATGTCATATTCCACCACTTCCCCAGTACTCATCTTACCTTTTTTCTACTTTTGTGTATGTCTCTTTTAATTTAGTGAATCCATCTTCTATTCCACCTCTCGAAATCTTGTCACCCTGATGTTCCTCTCCTCTGTGAAGCCCGAAGTCAGCTAAAGTGCTAATGATAACTATCAAAACGCCTGTCATTTGGAATAAATAAATAAATGATTCTAGATTCTCTACTGGACAACTTGAACTGTTTATCGTTTTGTTAAAACTGGTGTGATGGGAAATAATAAGCGATAGCTAGGTTAGCTAGCTAGATGAGAAACTCTTTGAAGATGTTATTTAACTGGTTATTTAACCAGTGAGAATTCACGCATCGGTTATATCAGATAAAAGCTCTCAAAATCTAGCTATTGGTGATATTTCCAAGAAGTCCGATTCCCTCCAATGTTATTCCAATTAGAACTTTTTCAATGTAGCTCTATTTCAGCCTCAGGCACATTTTCTCGGCATTATTTCTTCAATAGATCTATGCGTTAACGGGTTTCTCAAACTTTCACAAAACCCGAAAAAAAGGTTCAATGTGAAGTAAATCATTTACTCATTTCCACTGGCTTGTCCCAAATAGCAAATTGAAAATTAAATCAGCCTTTTTGTTGGGAGGATAGACAAAATGAGTGCGTTAAAATTCCCGAATAGCCGAATAAATTGTTTTCATTAATCCACAATCCTTAGCCACGAAAGCACCGACTTAGTTGGATATAGGTGTCTCATGATCACTATTAATAAGTATGTGCTACTCACCAGGAGCCTCGTATCCTGCTTCGTCATGATGCATAGGTGGCTGTGGTTGCTGTTGAGCAGATCTTTGAGCAGTCAAAATTCCAGTTCCCATCTGGAGTCGTGGTGAACTATGTTTCATCAGACCAACAGGCGCTAGAATAGACTGCTGCTGGTTCTGTTGAGTATGGTGATTCTGCTGCAGTAACACTCCATTCTCCTTCCCCGAATCCAGCAGTCCAATCTTACTATTTCTGTCCACATTCCGCTTCAATCTGAAAGACATATCATCTCCACCTCCGACTCCAAGAGCTGCTGAAGTAGGAGGGTATCGCTGTTTAACCCTCTTTCTTCTGCATACCAAGATTATTGCAAAGATAAGTAGCCAGAGAACAGCAACTCCTATTAGGGAAGCAATGAACCAGGTATGATTGTAGACCTTAACTCCAACGGGAGGATAATGACCACCCTCTAGAGGATACTGAGTAGTATCCGAAGGCTTGAAATTGAAAGCAGGCACCCCGTCTAGACTCAGAGTTGATGTGACAGGCGGTTGACGAGTGAATACAAAGAAATCAGAAGCGTTACGACCCATGAGACGGATGTAATTACTGGCAATTATTGGATACGGTTCTGAACGGACACCTTCACCATGACATGTAATGGCAGCCAGATAGAGAGTGAAATTTGTATTTGGCTGCAAGTTTTCCACACGATATTGATTCACTTTGGGACCAACCTGGAAAAGAAATAAAAGGGGTACGCTTATGGAACTAACTCAAAAAAGCGTTTCTAGACACAGATGGGAAGCTCACATTCCGACACCCATCTATTAACGAGGACGTTCGATAATTAAGCCTAATATTCATCTATGAGTGTAGGATCCGTGACCACTAACTACGTCTGAAAGTAAATCCGGTACTCAGGTGACCACATTTCGCGTGCATTTTTCTTTTCTTCCCTCTTGCGGCGAAATCAAACAAAAATCAAGGATTTCACTTAACCAATTCCTCCTTTTATCAATCACCCTGTGGCAAGCTATCACTTAAATTCACTAGATAGAATAGTTAGTAGCACACTTTATCCGTTTTGGAACAATTTGCAGGTCACAACGTCAGCCAGTTGGGAATTAAGAGTTAACTTGCATGACTACTGGATCGTATTAATTGCACTAGGGATCTGAACAACAATGTAATAGTTAACTTGAATAAATTTCGGGACAAATTTTCGTAGTTAAACTGTCCGAAAATTGAACTAGTAAAAACATCTTCCACTGAACCAAGAAGGTAGTCTCCAAGGCTGAGAACAAGCAATGAATAAATCATGTTGTATACGCACAAGTGGCGAGGAAAACAAGTTGAACTTGTCCAATAATACGGTCTCTGATCCCCACACATGAGTAATTACCGCAAGTGACGACTCTGAAACACTCATTAGTAGTACACGCTGGGGGAGGGTAGATGGGTATAGACAAATGCAGACTCGTCCACGCCATGGCTAGCTATTTTGAACAGCAGCAATTAATGACTCATAACAGCCCCACCCCACTCATATACGTCACCAGATGAGTCAGACGGGTTATGGACACAGAGGAGGAGATACGCACACCTTAGGACAGTTGTCATGACTATGTAGAGCCGTAGCACGGGTCGTTGAAAACTAGCCAGGATGGAAAAGGAGGGTGAGGCAAAAGCGGGAACATTGAGAGTTCTACATCCCTCCTCTCCTACCTCCTCCTTTTTTTCCTTGTGTGTGCCTTAAACACTGAATTACTGTGTCTAGAGCACAGTTCGAACGGGTTAGCCCATTCGTGTCGATAAAAAGGACAGGAAATTCAGGTTTCTGACCAAATTAAAAGTTACCAACAAGAATGGACAATTGGGAAGAAACATGTAAACCAGAACCTGTATGGCCTCTCAAGTTCCAGGTTCATTCCGGGAGGTTTCTAGTTGGCTCAGAAGAAATTGATAGACTTCCTGTAGCTATTTCCCGTATTAGAAGCAATTGAATAAATACTCACCTAAATATAAGATTTCACAGAGATGAAACCTCATTCCTCCCTATCATCCCAATATCTGAAAACAGCACTTATCTCAACTAATCATAAATCGCTAAGTTAGTTTATCTACTTATTGATAAAAACCTACTTAATAACATGTAAATTACAGCTCTAAAAAGCTTGCGAAAGGAAGATTCTATGATTTTTTATAGACTTCTAGGTCATAAATATATAATAAAACGCAACCCGAATCTTGGTCCTAATGCTCAGGCCGAATGTGCAAAATATCAGATACCTGATTCAGTAGAGTACTTACTTCCTAGAATGCATATCTAGAATTAAATGAGATCTATAAATAAGTAAGTTAAATCTAAAGAGCCACCCAGACAAAGGGAGAAAACAATATAACGCGTAAAAGGACTGTAATAGCCTTCCTTCTCAACGCTGCGAAAATCCTAAGTAGTGACTAGTCATATATATATATATATATATATAAGTTTTATTTTCACCCTCTATTAAAATAAAACGGCATAGTTAACTGCCTTTGCGTTCGAGATATGACAGAATGGGAAGAGATGCAAAAGTAGGAAAAGCAAAACTGTCAACCTGCCAATTTGATGATACTTATGCGGCATTGGCCAAGTCTTTTGCCAGTTAACTTTCCATCACAAAATGTCGCTGACAAAGAAGCCAAGCGAGAAATGAAACGACAAAATAAATACGGCTAGCTTTGCTAACCACGCTGAACGCCAAACACCACCACCACCCTATGTTTACTAGCGATCGCGCAGCCAGTAGTAGTAAACATATAGAGCTGCAAAATGACTTCCTGTAAGGCTAAGGTCAAAGAAGATAGAAGCAGTAGCTAGCTTTATTAATCACCACCTGAGGTCAAGGTGTCTACTTGCAAAAAAACGCTAAATACACCTGTCTACCTATCCCAATGGGAAACCTATAAAACTCATGATCAAAGATAACAACCCAAGTGAGGGGCAAAGCAGTTAATGGGCTGGTCTGATAAACCAGAGGTCATGGCCTAGATGACTTTCTGTGTACATCCAGTGAGCTAAATGCTTAGCCACACTGCTTAAACCTACCTAAAGAGGGTACCAGAATCCAAGCTTACCACCCACACCCCCACCCCCACCCCAGAGACAAGATGATATTACCCCATAGACAATTAAAATTGGAAAACACTTTCCCAAACAAGCTTCAGAACTAAGTTTCCACATGTGGTCAAGATTTCTAGCTGTAAAAACCCTTCACAAAATGGAGGTCAAAAGTGACAACTAGAGGGGAGTGTGAAAAAAAAGCAGGACAGTATGAGCAGTTCTATCCTTTCCCCCTCTCCACGAAATGACTCACGAAAAGGCACACTAAAATGAATGTGTGGCGCATATTTTGACTGCGGTCGACCGTAAAATCACTATCTCGCAGCCTGTCTAATGATTCATCAAGTAGATGATAAGAGATGCAGACAGCAATAGGCTTACCCTAAAAGTTTTCCTCTGTTCCAAATCTCGTCCGAGAAGTCTAAGTGAGAATCCGGTGATGAGGCCGTTGGTAGACCAAGATGGGGGTGGAGACCAAACAACTTCCAGTACTTTGTTGTCGATTTCTCCTTCCCCTCCGATCCATCGAGCTTTAACATCCTGTGGGGCTTGACTAGGAGTGCTGTCAAATGTCAAGACATTAGCCGAACGACTCGCTTGGCTGTAAACCCTTCCAAGAGTATGATCCTCCGAATACGCATCCACTTCTACCTCATAGCAGACGAAGGGGCTGAGGTTATCCAGAACCATTCTAAAGGGCGCAGAATCAACAAGACTCAATTCCATGAAGCGATAGTGTTCCAATTCACTCGAAGGTGGCAGCTGAGTTCGCGAATGGTCCACAGAAGCGTCAGAAAGCATAGCAAGGGAGCAGTAATTTTCAGACATTGAAGCGAGATTATCATCCACGTCTTCAGCATACAGAGATGGTGCATAGTTTAGACACTGATCAGTTAAGAGTGTAGTAGACTCCGAAGGGAGTAGGCAACGAGTAAGCGGTACAGCCCGATAACGGACCCTAATTCCAGTGAGCAAAGTTAACGCATTTGGTGCACCACATATTCTACCAGAAATCTCGATTTCAGAAGTGGAAAGACTAGTCAGCTGGGGAGTACTAAAGATAACAGAGTTAATATGATCAGTAGGGTAGTGCGTGAAATTGACATAACGATGTCTTTTCTTTGTGTAGACAGTATGGGGAAGAATATGCGGTCTACCAACACCACGTGGACTGACGGTTCTCGCGAGAATCCGATATCCACTCTCTGATTGAAGGCCACTAATTTTGACGACTTCATCCGGTCTTGCTTCAGCCGCAACTATCCATCCTCCGGAGCTACCATCAATTCCAACGTACTCAATTTGAACTCGGGTTCTTTCAACAACATGTGCGGAAGGTAAAGGGAGTCCGAATTCACTCAAAGGTTGATCGCTTTGAACATCCCCATAAACAGGAAGAGGAGAAACAGTACACTTGACGGAAATCCAAGAATCGCCGACATCTACAATGTCAACAGTGGCAGGGGGTCTTGGAAGATTTTCAACGAGAGAGGGTTGATAAGCAGGATGTAAAGGAGCTCTAGTAACATGAAGATTAGCAGTCCACTCAGTAGTGTACATCGGTTGGGACTTTTGATGTAACTGAGAAATTACTGGGGTAGTCTCCGCACGACAAGTATAGTTTCCTTGGTCATTAAAATTAATATCATTTATTTGCAGGGTACCCTGTGAGAGAAGAACAACTCTCGGGTCACTGTCAGGAGTAAAATTAAAACCATTTTTGGACCAAGTCACAGTAACACCGTACGAGTCCTGCTGAAGTCTCTCTGGCAAACCAACTGATCCAAGAAGATGTGCTTCACATCGAAGAGTTGCCGTAGTTCCAAGTAGAACGGTCTGATTTTGGGGACCCAGCTCGATCACAATTATTGGAGGAGGGTTAGAGTCACTTACAAAGAGGTTAGCAGACGACCTAACCATACCAGTTTTGTGTGATGCTCTACACTCATACTTCCCTTCATCTGATTTTCGAGCTGATGTTACAACCAAACTACCCTCGTGGTCAACAAACACCCGAGGTGTCCCAGTTAAATGAGGAGTTCTAAAGTCTGGATAGAGAAAATATTCACCATTGTGGACCCACCGAATGAAAGGTCGTGGTGAACCGCCAGCTTGACAATTGAAAACAGCTCTTTCCCCTTCTGCGACAGTTGTGTCAGTGGGAGTAATGGTAAAGCTAGGAGGAGAAAGGACAACCAATTTCGCAGACGCATCAATACTCCCTGCTTCATTCTTTGCTTGACAGACGTAAGTCCCAGCATCTTCCCTTCTAACTTGGAAAATACGCAAGCTCTTATCATCTCGCAGTACACTTCGATCTTCAGGGATATGCTGTCCATTTTCCCGACGCCAGAGAATTGAGGGCTTCGGATCACCATTAACACGGCATACAAATTCCACATCCTCACCAACTTTAACCTGCTGATTCGAAGGAGTAATCTCAAATCGGGGTTTTTGATGAATTGTTAAAGTTGCGGCTTCACTTTCACGCCTACCGGCATGGTTTCGGACTTCACATTGATAAGTTCCAGCATCTTTTCGTTGAACTTCAGAGATGTGAAGATCACCATCAATTATGTTAATACGTTGGGAGGTTTGAACAGGCTCAGTATTGTGATACCAGTTTACAACAGGAGTGGGTAAACCTTGAGGGATTTTGCATTGCATAATTACATTTTCCCCAGTACTTGTAACTTGACTCTGTGGACCTTCAGTAATAGGTTCCAGATAAGCAAGTTGAGCATGTGCATACTTTGATTTAGTCCAACCCTCAGAGTTGGAAGCATTACAATAATAAGTTCCTTCATCATCTGGTTCAAATGAAAGAAACATTAATTCACCAGACTTAATAATTTTATTTGAAGTTCCAGGTCTTTCTCTGATAGATTGAACCTGTTGTCCATCCTTATACCAAATAATAAGTGGTGGCGGTTCACCCTCTGCATGACAGCGAAGTAACAAAGACCGTTTTAGAAGTCCGAAGGCATCATGAGGATCGGTTGTAAAAACCGGCTTTCGTCTGGGTGCCATTTGATGCAAGGAACTACATTGTAAGGAGAGAAGGGAGAGAACCACAAATACGGAACAACGTAATTTGATAACATAATCCATTATAAAGTTGAAATTATGGCACGAGAACTCAACGCATCTGTAAGTGCGGCCAAGTGCAAATTGAAAACTGGTGAGCTAAACTATTGGCCGATGAATTGAAGACAAGCCCATGAACAGACCAATGAAAATATTATGGCCTTATAATTTGATTAAGTAAAACATTTTTTTAAAACTTTTAAAAGTTAATAAACCATTATGGCTACTCTATCTTAAATATAGAAATATCGCATATACATAAACATAAGGCAAATATATTATGTAATCCTGTAAACTTATGGAATACACTGATTTTCAAATATATTGAGATTTAATTAAACAGTTTGTGATATATCCTTCAAAATTGCTATTTTCCAAAAAAATTAAGATTAAAATCTTAATAATGTCAAAATTATACGTTGAATGATATCTCATTCAAGACTAAATTGGAGAATTCTCTCGTTTTCACCTTATAGTATACATATCGTTATTAATTTTAATTTTTTCACAGTGGCCAATTAGATGAGTATTATAGAAGATCTCAGTTTCATAATATTTGAAATCGCTGTATTTCCTCCGTGTTTGGTCTTTTTTCTGTTGAAATTTCTACAAATTCCAAAATTCGTTTACAAATGCAAACGTCTAAAAAGTTGTTCACACTTAAATTATATAAGTTTGACTTATTTAAATAGATATGCAAACTTATTAATAACTAACATCAGCATGTTAATTAACTTGTCTTTGAGTGAAGTCATTCTCAATCCCAACCTCTCCGGACAAAAAGGTATGACTCCTTACTTTGAGGATTGGATCCAATTAAACCGTTTTCGACTTCTTCTGAAGGGTCTGAAATGACAATTAGATTTTATTAGCATCTGAATTCGAGGGCGAATTGCGATCATGTGCTTTCTGAAAAAGCATCCTCTGGATCCGTTTTTAGATCGGAGGATGCGATTGTGTTCCAAGAATGGAAATATTTATGAAAGCTCACACACATTGGGACATCTGTATGAAGCCACGTCCAGTTTCTAAGTCTTAAAGGGCTAAAAATCTCTCCAAGTGTCTCATTCTCTTATAATATGAGAATTTGGCTTTTTACATTGCCAACATGATGATCATCTTGGTTTTTGAATATATGCGGTAAGTGGGGAAGAGAGATATTTGGTCTAAGTCAAAAGTCTTCAAGTCGAGTAAAAGAGAACCTGGTTGTATTTCTGTCCACATAGACGTCTGAGATGACCTGGTTAGTGAAAAACTGATGATTGATATTAATATGAATGTCGTTTGTAGCTGACTTAACTCCAGATAACCTTGAATATAATCCACTGGCGTCGGGTGGGGTTATTTGCATAAGTGCAGTAAAACGAAGGTCAATATAAACCCAAAGAATTATTGTTCGGGAGTAAATGAATGGTTTCTGTGAGAAATAAATGCTACAGTTTTTCCATTCTCACCTTTATTTTGTGCAATCTCTTTTTATTCTCTTCCTTTGAAATGAGAAACGATTTTGAGAAAACCGAGTTCCTTGGGTTATTGACATTTATTATTCATCAGTGACGATCCTTTAGGCAAAGGAGCGTGGACAAAGATCTAATGTGGTCATACTAACCGTTAATAGTTGGAGACTGTTCTCGGTAGGTCAACTTTATTTGAATTATGATAACCAGAACAATTACGAGTCTTATTAGCCTCTATTTTTGAAGAAGGAGCCTCCATTTTTTGAAAGATTACAGTTTGTTGAGAAATTTAAGAGTTTTTTGTCCCTATTTTAAAATAGTCAGTTATCGTCAATTATAGGGCTAGCAACTTTCGTAAGCCATGTTACCGAAATTTCCTCAAATGACAGATCTCAATGAAAAAAGGTATTCTATCCTCCCAAATTGGGCCTGGTAACGACCTTGTAATTTTGCGCATTAAAATAATATGCAGGTTAGTATTTTGGCTAAGAATTATTCTATTTTTCTAATATTATCAGAATCACGAGTCCCATTACTTATTGTATTAAGTAGTATGTTTCTTATATCGTCATATTTCATGTCGTGTAATAGTAGAATTCAACCGAGATCTGCTGATCTGCATCATTCAATCTGACCGTTCGAGATGATGTACCAGGAAGGCACCTTGTATCATCATAAGCCAATGCTAACAAGAAAGACAACAATTCAGAGTCAACAGTTCTAATAGGTATCATACCTTCGATTATAAACTATGCTTTTTTGCAGTAAAAGGAGAATTTCTCCATTGATTTAGTTAAACGAATTATCAATTTTTTGCATTTTCTTACTTAATTACCCACAAACCTGGTCCAGGCACTTTTCAAGATCTTCGGTCCGAATGACAGATTTCCTACGATTAGGCTTAATCACATATAATAGAATTCAAATGTGCGCATTTTTTGCAGTAAAATGGGAACCTTCTTCATTCCACCGCTGTTATAACTATGACATTCTTTCAGTGTGTTTATACTTGCGTTAAATAGAATTTTAAGACAAATATTGATAACGCATATGCAAACGTATGTTCTTTTCAATGATCTTCTACTTTTTTTCAATCCCTGCCCTTTTCAATGCTAAAACTCTTATGCAAAAATAAACTAGATGGAGTACTTTTTAAAATGTAACTAAGGCTGTAATAGCTATCCCTATCTTTTTTTACTGATTAGGAAATTAGTATCTCTATTTCATAGCAGCCATTATTTTGAAGAATAATTGATGGTTAAAATCTCTGTAAAGGTAATAAAAATAATTTATTTATATCAAATGGTAGGCATTTTGATAGTTTACATTAGCCCTTTAGTTGACTTCAGGCTTCACAGAGGGGAAGGAACATCGAAGTGGAGAAAGTCGAGAGGAGGGGGGGGGGAGGAACAGAAGAGTGTTTCAAAGATATAAAAGAGACAGACACAAAGGTAGAATAAATGTGAGATGAGTACTGTGGTAATGGTCGAATCAACACAGTGGGGTCATGATAGTTTGAATTCAGAAGTCAACTGCCAGTTAATAGACTTTTTCGCTGTATGAGTATACGTTGTCCAAGGAGCACCATGTGGAGGTAAGTCTATCGCACACCCCGCAATAAAAATCATTGTTTGCATCGCCTTGGTGGAAGATATTTCAATATTTTTCAACACCAGGGCCGGGTTAGTACTTGCATGGGTGACCGGCTGGGAGTACCCGGTGTTGTGGGGTGTGCGACAGACTTACTTCCACGTGATGCACCCTGGGCAACGTATATTCATACGGCAAATAGTCTATTAACTGGCAGTTGACTTCTCACTTCAAACTATAACCATCAAGACACCTGCCATTTGATATAAATAAATATTTTCCAACATAACGATAATTGTTTCATTCAGATATAACTAAAAGCTCCCCAGAAATGTGCACATATAAGAGAATCCTAAATTTATTGTCCAATGTTATCCCCCATTAATAAATAGTCATAGACAATGGCAGAATTATTATTTATTCTATTGAAGATAAATAATTACGCATTTCTGGAACTCGAACTCATCATATTCCACTTGTTATTGTTCTCAGAAGGAAACTATTTTCACTTTCCGCTACAATTCCTTTGTATTATCTTGACAGATAAACAAATTGGCAAATGCTGCGTCGCAATGTTGTATGGATGAGAGTGATTCAATATAATTCAAGTGTTATGCGAGGGGTTGAAAGTGTAGAGGTGACCAAGAACCCACTGGAAGAGGCTTTTATACTTGTGTGCAATCAGCGAGAGTCGTCGCATGCTTCAGAGCTCTTCATTATGTGATGGTAACCTATTAGTATTTATTGAGCGTCCAATTTGGAGAAAATTTAACTTCTGAGCACACCACGTGCTTTTAAATTATTGAACGCATTTTTTGACCAATAGTAAATTATAACATTAAATTTCAATTATTTTAAGCAAAATAAAGCACATCATTGATACACTCTTTCGTTTTATTTTATAATGCTTGAATTTAATTGTTCAAAGTAAAAGCATCTTCATTTCTCCTTGTGGGATAAGGAATAGGATGAACTTCGATTAAAGTATCTTTTTGTCAACTAGACACTTTGAATATTTAATTATTTTTTGTCGCTGGTCTGTAAATAAACTGCATTAATGAGGAAAAAATTGAATATTATTTGTTAAGTCTCTAAATTCTAAACACAATCAACACTTACAGCTTCCCTTATCCCAAAATGCCTCTGACACACTAATCAAACTACACTGAAATAGAATAAGGTGAATTAATAAGGCAATATATTATTTCACTTGAAATTGAGTGAATTCCAGTGGTATACAGTGTGTTGGCTTTCAACTGTTTGAAGATTCAAACAGACCCATTGGTCAAGCGGGAAACACAGAGAATAAATAATCGAAATTAAACACTTCAGCGAGAAAAGGATTATTATTATATCATATGGCAAGCGTTTTGGTTGTTATCATTAACCCTTTAGTTGACTTCAGTCTTCACAGAGGGGAAGGAACATCAAAGTGAAAAAAATTCAAGAGGGGGGGGGGAACAGAAGAGTGTATCAAAGACGAAGGTAGATAAGGTGAATAAAGGTGGGATGAGTACTGTGTAAGTAGTCGAATATGACATACAGTGGGGTCATGGTAGTTTGGAGTCAACTGCCAGGTAATAGACTTTTTTTGCCGTATGAATATACGTTGCCCAGGGTGCACCACGTGGAGGTTAGCGGGAAACACTGAGAATAAATAATCGAAATTAAACACTTCAGTGAGAAAAGAATTGAAATGAGGCAGCATTCTTAAACACATTCGCTTTAAGCATTTCAGTTGTTTGCCATGGCTGAGTAAAGAAACTCATATGCACTCAGAGAGACTCATACTACTTGTCATGCAGGGAATAAGTACGGTCGTGAGCACAGAGATCACTCAGAGTGTCACCAATCAATAGTCTTTGAGTGGCCGAACAAACCTTTCATTTTATTATA